TAAAAAATGAAGCCAAAGAGTAAAACTCGAAGGGATATTATCTAGAATAAATCAAGAGAACAGCGAACAATTTATTGAAGTTTGAAGATGGTTCTTTTCATCCACATGATGGTCATTTTCAATAATTTTTTCTAATTTTCCATATAATTTCTTTACTTTATTTTTCTTTATTTATATATATATTCTTCTAAGCTGTAATTCTGCTTATATTTGTTATTTACAATTATATATTCTGCCAAAATTGTCAGAATTCTGCCAAAATTCTACCGGAATTCGACTAATTAATTAGTATCGAAATAGTAAAAATACATGATGAAATAAATGACAATCCGTTTTTTCGATGCCTTAAGGTTCTTAAAACTTTTTTGTTTGCGTCAAAAATTTTTCTGCGGAAAAAAAAAGCAAAAGCTTTCCAAAATTATTTGAAATTTTTTAAGACCAGAAAATTATAATAATTGCAAATTTTCCATGTTTTAAATTAAAAATCTTTATTATTGATAAAATCATTATTATTAAATCGCTTAAGAATGAATATTGATAGGTTTCAATTTTGGGAGACTTTTGGGAGGAGAAAGTTCTGCATTATCTTTCGTTTGTGCCTGCATAATTTTGCAGAGAGCAAGACAACGGAGTGAATAGTGTCACTGTACTTAGAAAGAGCCAGGTTACTGCACAAAAGAAGATACATAGAAGTATTGCGTGGTATATAGATGGTACCAATATCAGTGATTTCTTTCGTTAGTAAAGTTATAGGCATTGATAGTATATTGCATTTGTAGGCTTTTTTCATAGTTGTAGGTTTAAAGCTTCATGCACATTTTTGGATTTTTTTCAGAATAGCATAATATTATAAAAGCGATATTTGATGATTGGCAGAGAGTGCGAAATATATGAAGAGTTATGTGAGCTGATGCCATTAATCGACCTTTGCTGGGCGAAGGAAGAAAAATTCTTTCGGATTGTGCAAACTGGTGTCAAGTACTTTACAACGATCCTCAGGCGTGGTCATCACATATTTTCTTTACAATAATCAGTTTATTCACTCATTAAATTGATTTCAAGATCTTTGAAATCAATTTAACTAATAAACATTTTATGCGTGATAAAAATTTACGGTTGGAATTTGAAATTTTTATCGCCATTTTTTCAGCATTTTCTTATAGCATCCTTTATTTTTATTATTGCCATTGTTATATTTTATGTAATTATTTAGCGATATTAAAATTCAGCGATATTAAAATTAATATTTTAATATGTACTAAGTACTTTAATTTGACGGTTAATTCACGAAATCGACCAGTTTCAGGATCATTTTACAAATCGTCATTGCGTATCTTTATTTTACCAATATCTTATTTCCTTTCTTAGTGATACACTTCTACATACTTACATTTCCAAAGAATTTCATATATCAGCCAATCCAAATAATAATTAGTGATTTTTATCTGAATTTTTTTCACAGATTATTCAGAATAATTATTGATTACTCAGATCTAATAAAAAATTATTTTTAAATTAAACTAAATTTTCAAACAATTACTAAAATTGATTTTAGTGTTAAAATTTTAGTGTTGATAGAAAGTTAAAAAATTATTTTTTTTTGTTAATGACCTTAGCCATAGAAAATTTTCCCTTTGGATATAAAATCGTGTAAATTATCATCGCTACTGGTTGATTTTGATTTTGATTTCTTCAGCAAATTGCATTTCCATCCAACTGGAAATCAACAAAATATTTGTCTAGCGAGAAACACAAAAATAGAAATGGAAACTATAGAGACTGTCGAGAACGCAACCGATTGTTTAGATTATCGTCTCGAAGCATCATCCATTCGGATTCTTACTCTTACAGTCGTTAAAAATTTCGATTGGTGATGTTGGTCCACCCGCAGGACTCCCTGGCAAAACTTTTCTCATCTTTTCTCACTCCCATTTCTCATACTAACAGTCTCGTACTAACAGTCAGTGGAGTAGCCAGAAACAATGGTTGCTAATTCCTCTTACTTTACCCATGTAGCTAAAGTTTAAATCAAAGAAATAGTTCACAGATGGAAGTGACAGAGCAAATTTTTCATTAAGTGAAAATTCTATATTTGATATATAATCGATTTTTTCTTCAACTTTTTGGCTAAAAATGAAAAAACAGGATAGAAAAATTTTTTTTTGATAAGTTGTTCAACCATCGATAGAGTAAAAAGTCATTAAGATGATTTTATATAAAAATTCGATTTGGCAGATTTCTCCAAAGCACTGCTGTTAATTTAGAACAAGGTTTATTGCATAATAAATTCTTATCAAATAACCATGAAAATTCATCGTCCTTTGCATCTCTACGGTGATTAATGGAACTTGCGGTACTTCATTTCGATAATATAAACAAGTTCAGCCATTGATAGGGCAATAAATCATTAAGCCCTAATTGCATCATTTGGTGGAATAGTAGATGCCATTGAAAACCGTAAAGACAAGAAAGGACCAAATATTAAAATACTAAAATTTGCTGATAAGAAATTGATTTATTAGTATTTTATCAATACATTATTTTTATCTTTAATGCAAACTTCTCAAAAGTTTCTAGAGGTTTCATACTTCTTTTTATTTATATTTCACTTTCGATTTGACTTAAAGCTTTAAATTTTTCACCGTACAACAGTCAGTGGAGCGAGTTTAAGAAATGCTGACCATCAATTTACTTAAAAGACTTGAGGCTTCAAACTGGTTGAATGTGGAAGTGGCTACATGAGGTTATTGAATCCAGAGAAAGACTTTGATGAGACTGATATATAGTTTTTTTTTTTCAAATGACAGTTTTTCAACGAATTGCTCTCGCAGCAATTCGATGAATTATCAAACAGTTAATTATAACAATGTAGGAAAGAAAGAATTTAATTTGATATAGAATCATAAATTAAAAATGTTGCTAACTGAAAATTTATCGCAACATTTGTTTCATTATCATTTGCTGTGAAATAATTTCTTATTTTTTGCTTTTTTCTTCCGATAAATGAGGAAAGAAGCATTTCTTTAAGTCCCCTCGAGATAAGCACAGCAACCTTGAATTAAATGCTTGGTGCTTAGCGTTTCTGGTTGTGCTATTAGCCGAGTGGAAACTTTTACAGGTAGTCGCCATATTAGAGCTAGAAATACAGATGGATCCCAGCAGCGAATCAGCTTTGGATTATTTATCTATATTTTCAGCTGGTCGATGTTGTTTAACTATAAGAGCGAATATTGATGGTAATATATGCAGTTGTTTACGAACTGTTAAATATTAAAGTTCATAAATTTACGTTTCGCTTTGCTGCACTTAACATGGCCCTGGGCTCTGAAATATTGGATCAGTCCTTACAATTGCAGATATCCATTAACTTTTACTCTGATCTCTTGGCATATTTTTTTGTCTAATCTTTTGCTCATATCTAAATCGACTCTAAGATTTTACCATATTTCAGCGAATTTGAAAAAAGAATTTGTAATTCATCATTTAAGTTATGTGTATTTTCTAATTTTTCAATCATTAATATAGTAAAAATGCTTAGTTGGTAAATTGATTGGTTGATTGTCTTATAACTTCAATGAATTAATTAGACAAGTAGTCGAATGGTATTTTGCTTCAAGCATCATAGGTCCTTGTTCTTTACCTTAGATAAAAATGTCGTTAATTCCGAGTGGTGTTGCGGACACACCTGTTTTTCTAAATTTAAATGATTCTCTGGCGAAACGACTCTTTAGAGCTAGCCAAACCAGAAATGATGAGTGCTCTTAAAAGAATGAGAAGATTAAATTGTTGGATTGCACCAAATGACTTATTAGATAATATTGCCCATGCTATTCTACCAAAAGTGGAACAATTTATGAAATCTATAATGCAAATGTTCATTGCTTAATTATTTCCGTAGAAATTATTGTATGTAATGACCATTATTATTTTTTTCTTGCTTGAGGATCGATGCCAAACATTCACTTTCATTGACAATACTTTGTCCTTTTTTGTCCTCTCTGTTTTCCTATAGTTTTAAAATTTGAATATCTTATTTTTTTCCACTTTATCTTATTCACTTTATTGTATATCTTATTATATCTTATTCCTCTTATTATGCGCCGGATTCACTACATTGCGGTCTATTAGTTAGTAATTTAAAGTCTCTCAGGATCAAATGTACTTTTATTGCTGTAGTTCGGTAGCAATTAAGAAATATTCTTATCTGTCTCTTACGAGATGATAAGCGAGATGAGATTGATTTTTTTTTAAATAATAAATAAACTGTGACTTACTGTATATTCTCTCGTAATCCCCATTTTGCGGAATTTGACTTCGTTCATTTGTTTTCGTCCGTAAATTTTTGGCTGGCAGTTGGTACTCATCGTTATATTAAATTACATTTATTCATCGCTATCTGTATTACTATTTCCGGTTAGCTTTAGAGAGAGTCAATTGGCGAGCACAGAGCACAAAAATGCAGCCAACACCACTCGTTTTTAATGATGTATTGACGGTATTCACTCGGTAATGAGGCCCAAGTCTTAGGTTCTCAATTATTTGAATCACTCGACTCGTGGTTTTCATTCTCAGAGTTTGTCTTTTGGTTTGCCCTGATGAAAATTGTTGAATGAAGGGCGAAAATAAAAGAATTGTTTACTTGTGGGTTAAAAAAGTTATCAGCAAATTATGCAGATTAGCTTAAAAGTTAATTTTTTACTTTTTTCAAAGGGTTACGGTAGTAACTCTACAGTTCCATTTCATAAAATTATTCATCAATATTTCACTTTAAAACAATTTTTCTATTCTTTTCCAATTTTCGAATTTGAATTATTTATTAATTACTTGATTTTGATCAATGATCGGTTATTTTGTTTTCTATCGACGCATTTTGTGATGCCCATCAGAATGAATGATAAACATATCATTTTCACTGTGTCTGTCTGTGAATCACATGTGTGATTATTTGCTTCCAAAGGTTTTACGAATGGTACCAACGTCAACGAAATTAATTGGCAAATATGTCAAATTTGCTTACTTTAAGCTTTATGCTTTATGCTGTTATTGTATATAATAGTTAATATTATAGTTATGATAGTATTTGGCAATTTAAACCTAAACAATTTGGAATTTAGACGAATTTCCTAAAATTTTCGCATTTTGTCAATATTTAGCCTCGCACATTTAATTTTTACCATCTCAGATCAATCGATTTTATGAATTAGAGTGAAACTTTTTTAAATTATAAATTATTGAATAGTTATTTACTTGTTTTTTTATTTTGTGCCAAGAGGTGGCATTTTAAAACTATGAAGTTTTACAGGTTTTGTGCTAGTAGAATAGAAATGTTTATAAAATACTTTTTTCTCAGAGAAATTTAATTCAAGCAATTGTGTCCACCTTTTTTTCGCCAATTTAAATGAAATTTTGAAAATTTAATTGATTATAAAAGTACTTCCAGATGGATTGGTAAGAACTCAAAGTTCGAATGTCCTGTTGCTTACTGCTTCAAAGAACATGAATTCTAATTCGTTGGTGATGCCAGTTCAAGATCAAGAATCGCATGAAATGTTACAGCTGACATCAAGACATAAGGCTGATCAACACAGCTTCAAGCCGAAAGTCATCCCAAGTGCAAATGAGCATTTCAATGATGAAACTGGCCTTAAAGATTAATTTCAGCTTTGGTTTGCTTTTATTTTTATCTTTTTCAGAGAATTATAAATTCCTTTACTTGAATAGTTCATTTTGCTTTAAATTTTCGTAATTCTTTTCGTCTTTCATTCATAAAATTTTTGATATTTAATCCTATATTTTATGCATATTATGCATTTATGAAAAAAGTAGAATAGCTAACTCCTCAAAATATTTTATTTTCCTAATTTGGCTCTTTCTATATCTGGCAAGAATAAACCTGTCATCAAAAAATCTAAGTGGTGTCGCGAGCTTATAAAAAAATCATTGAGGTGGGTTCTGGTCAAGAATATTGAATATACTAACCGCTTATATACTATATTATAGAAAATTGACAGGGAATGATACTTTTTTCTCCATTTACTTGGGAATCTTCAATCGAGAATCAAATCATCTTCAATTTCTTCAAAGGATTTTCTATTTTTACATTGGAAGGAATCAACTATAATTGTGAAAAAATGGTGTTGACTATTGAATGGTTTTTAATTTTTTTTTTCAGTTTACATTTTTACTTCCTTAAAGCAACCATTTGATTATGAAATCTCAGTTTACAATCAGTCAATTCCATGACCTCAGTAGCATATGTATGTGAACTTCGTTTGGAGTTGCTTGAGTATAATAATAGTTATAATCTTATGCCTTTTGATGATAGAAAAAACGTAGTTGGAATGATAGTGTTCTCCAGTGAAGCTTGGAACAAGATGTTTCAAGTATGAAGAGTATGAAGAGTGAGGATTTTGATGGGCTATGGACCCTTGTTAATTAAAATGATGATTCATATAAATTGAAGATTCCTGTGGATCCTATAGATTTTTAGTAGCATATGGTTGGCTCCTCGTAAACTGATATTTTTTTTTGATCTTTTTTGTGGGAAAAATTTTATTTTATATGGAAAATTTTCTATTATTTAGCTTGGTTTAGTTGTAACACATAAATGCTCTTTTTTCGTATTAAAAAAAATTCTGTGCTTGTGCCATCGTGAACAGTCTCTGATCTCTTCGGCTATTGTGGCCAAAATATATTATTCGATATTGGGCTAATACGCTTAAAGCTTCTATTTTATTTAAGTGTGAAGCTATGCAAAAGGCAAATGTTCGTCTTAATTTCAGAAACAAGTTTTATTTAATGCTTATTAGTTTAATATTGAATATTTTTTGCGAGGATATTCATGGTGGCAGAAGCACTTGGTGCATTCATTTGCATGATTATGGTTTCGATATATCGAAAAAAAATGAAAATTTTCCGTAAAAAATAACGAAATTCGTAATCTTCGCATAAAATAACGACATTAATTCGAATTTTAAGAAGGCTCTTCTAAGGTCGAAAAAATTTTTAAAACAATATTTTTCCGAAATCACTATCATATCTTTTTTTTCTTCTATTATTCGCTTTCATTTATATATTTTTACTGAAATTTTAAAACGATTGTTGAATGAAGAAATGTTGAATTCCCATAAAATCTCCTATAAAAAACGATTTTATCCTCATAAAGCAAAATTCAAAACCATTTGTTATATGCCAATCTAAGTTTTTTAAATAATTCAGCCTAAAATTTCAATTTGCAGAAAATTTTTACAAAACTTTTTCAAATTTTTTCCTGGAAATAATATATGATAATATATTAATAATATATGTTCACCTGAGGAAAATGATCGATTCTTCATGACATTCAAAGTCTTTCATTATTAAAATAGCAATTGTGATTTTTATTTTATGCCTATTGTGCCATTTTTTATTTTAATTTTTTTATTTTCATTTTATTATTATAAAACGCCGCGATTTGTTCTTTTTTGTAGTTTCTCTATTTAAAAAATAAGATTTAATTGTCGAATGGCGGACGACTCACTGCGATGTATCAATTTATTTATCATTTTAGTCGCTTATCCGAAAGTCATCTCTTGGTTTAGATTCTCATCTATGTCGATCTAAAAAAAACCTTGTATGAATGAAATCATTAATCTGGAAAATTTGCCGTGAATCCGCTCTTTCCATTAATAGGACGGGCTTCATGGATCCCTGAATGTCGTTAAGTATGCTACAGTTTTTCCACTTTTTCATAAGTTTATTATTCACGGCTTTCTGGACACGTCTTTCAAAGTCTTTTGTGTGCCTTTGCATAGCGATTTCTTGTTTTTCTCAAAAAAATTTTTTGTATTTACTGTTGTATTTTCTGTTACAGTAAAACCAAGTCGAAACTTATTGTTCCTTAATCCTTCGCACGGATTTCGTTAATCTGCAACAATTTTTCGCGAATTTTTTAAAGCCCTTCCTTAATCATTTTTGGTTCTTTTGGTTATATTACAAATCGTTTTCATTGTATCCACTTTTTCCCTAAAATTTTCATCCAGTTAAATTATGAAATAAAAGTTTTGTTGCTATTCCTTTTCTATTTAAATCCACTTCTTTAACATACCATTTAAAAGAATTATCAATGATATTAAATATTTAGTTAAATTTACTCATTAAAAATTTTGCTCGTACTCAGGACTAACCTGTACTTACTTCTATCTCCAAACAACTCCCTCCAAACTCCGAATAAAAATTTCCAACCGTACTAATTAGCCAGAAAAGTTAGTCTAACCAGAAATAATAAGAGCCACCCACAATTATCAGAAAAATAACAAAGATTCATTGCTTCTTTCCTTCTTAACGTCGAAATTTCAATTATTGATAAGGCAACAATACAATCTTTCTGCGGATAATAGTATTCAATTTCTACTTCCAAACGAGTATCAATATTATTAGTAGCTAATCTATAAGTCATTAGACCTCATTACAAATATTTTAAAGCATTTCTTCAAATAACTAGTAGAATTGTCTATCCAGGACTGCCTGAGATTTATTTCATAACAATAAGGAAACCTTATAAATGAAAATGAAAAAAACAACCTAAAAACAGCATCGCTTTTTTTTAAAAAATTCAGGAAATTAATGCTATTTTGCAAAATTTATATGCATAGAATTCAGAAATAATCACAACAATTAGTTAATATTCTATCTCTCAGAACCACCATTTCTGATTTGGCTGTTCCACTGATATGAGACTTTTTCAGTAGAAAACCATTTTAAAAGTTCTGAAAGCATCTGACACCAATAAATTAATACTAAAATGAAATCAAACTAAAATTCCTTCGCAATGTATCAATAAAAAATATTAACGTTTTTTTAGCAATTTTTTAAAAAAGAACTTCAATCGTATTGTTTGCTATTCCACATTCCGCAAGTACTTCTAATTAGCGATCTGTTCACAAAGTGATTAATAGAATCATTCATCTAGAATTCTTGACCAAAAAAATAGCTGATAGATGAAAGAATCAATTTTCATCGCTTTCGGGGTGTAATAATAAATTATTTCTGAATTTTACAAATAATAGAATGCGAAGAGAAGTGAACGATGCAACTGTCCGATATAAATACATTTGGCTGATATTTTTTCCATATGTTTTGAACAATTCATCAACAGCGAATAATTTTAATATTGTTCACTTATTAAAAATTCAATGAAGAATATATTTTCATGATTATAGTTTTTCATTAGACTTCTTTTTTCTATATATTAAGAACAGTCAATATACGTAGCATATACATATTATATTGTATTTATAATATATAATTTGAAAAAGTTAAGAAAATAATAATGATGAAAAGAATTATTAATTGTTTGCACCAAAAGCTATGTTAACGGGTTCATATTTATTAACTAAAACAATACGCACTAGATCAGATTTTTCACCTCCAACTGCTAAAATAGAAGCAGAATCTGGTGAAAAACGAACAGTATGCAATTTCCCAAAGTCAAACATATCTGAATGGACCAAATTGAATCCATCTTGAGATAATTTCCAGATATTCAATTTCTTAAAAGCAAATATGCATTAAAATATTCACTTTCTATAGTAGGGAAAAAGAGAAAACAAGAAAGCTACATGCAGTCCAATCTTTTTCGTTCATAAACTCAAAAAATTTGACACCTATTATGAAATAACAGGACACCGAAAAGGCGTACTGAACGTACTGACTAACTATTGTCCCTAATTTCCGGTTTGGTTAGCGCCAACAAGGAAGAATCACTTGGAGAAAAAAAGTTAAGATAGGTCTTCAGCAATCGGATTTCACTTTTAATAACCTGTTTACTGAAGAGAAAGAAATGGAACCTATTGTGGTTTGACTTAGTGAAGACATATCACTCCAATAATCCAATTCTTGCCTCTAAATATCGTTATCTATACTATACTATATTTAAAGCCCTGTCTAATATTTGATTTAGATTAATTGAATTGAAAGAGACAAATTGACTAACACTATCAGCACCACAACTAGATATTAATCCTTTTATTTGGTAGCTCTGAGAAACACCAAAAACTTCTCCAATATGAGCTTGACGACGATAAATTTCTACATCAAACCGTGTATCCATATAATATAGCATCCCTGAACAAAATGACCATAAGAAAAAATATGAGAAAAAAAGCACAGCACAGTTGATATGTAGTTTCGTTTTTTAACACAAAAATCACCAAAGTTGAAAAATGCTGCATTACAAATAAAAAAATTTCTTACGACTTTACGCACTATCCCTGACAAACCGATATATCTGAGAAAATTAACTGAAACTAATAAATTCCCACTTTGAAATCGTGAAGAAAAAAGTCAAGCACAAGGATAATGATCCTAGATTTGAATAACTCCAATGATTCAGTTATTTAGAAATTTAATAGTTAGAAATTTGAAAATTTGAAATTTCTTCTTCTTCTAATAGTTCTCACCATTAATGGTTAGGCTAGCTCCAACGGCTACAAGAGTAAGACGCTTCCAAGCGGCGCGATCTGATGCCATCGTCGACAGTAATAAAAGCCATTCCTTTTTCCATCATCTAAGTCCATATATCGTTAAGTCCATATAATCAACCTATACGTTTAGAATCTTTTCTAATCGTATCAGACCAGGCCTTAATTGGTCCATCTCGCTTCACCAACCACACGGTTTAGCAAGTAACGAAATATGCGTCAACTCCTGTGGTGGACGACGGAGAACGTCCCTAACCAGCGAAAGCGATGCTCTGTGATAACATTATTAATGCAAGGTGGATGCGATTAGAACGATATTTTATCCGCTCGACAGATCCGTAAAATATACCTTAGACAAAGGCAGATAGCTTCATAATACCACTCCTCCACTTTCACTGGCCATGTCACAGAGCCATATAGCAAGATCGAATGAATTACGGCTATATAGATGCGGCTTTTCGTTTTTATGGTAATTTCAAGACGGCTCCATAAAGATTCCGACAACTTGAAAAAGGCATTTCTAGAAAGCTGCCGTGATCCGGATTGTAATATCGTCTTTTGCCTGGCTATTTGGTATTAGAGTGGACCCAAGGTATTTGAAATCAGGCACTTCTTCAACCGGCAATGAATTTATAAAAAGAGGCATTTTATCATCTTATTACACATAAGAGGAAAAGTTTTATTTACATTGACGGCTGTTGACAAGTCATTTAGCATTATCTTATTATTTCGCAATTTCGATATAACTGTCAGCGAAAGAAACTACATCAACAAGTATTCAAGATTCGTGACACGATACTTTGGGCTGACTTGCACATCTCTTTATTACCGATAAGCGATGTCCATTATCCAATCTATCGCATAGTTGAATAGTGCAGGAGAAAGAGCGCAGCCCTGACGGATACTAATTTTTATTTCGAAGGAGTCTATCAATTCCTCATATACACAGACCTGCGCTAAGGTATGCCGACAAAATGCCTTTATGAATCGAATGATCTTCTCTAGAAAATTGTCGCGTTTCATCACTCTTTAAAGCTCCACACTATTAATTGAATCAAGGGCAGACGTAAAGTCGATGAAACACGTGAGTTGCAAATATCTGAAGCGATGTTTCAGCATCCTTCTTAACGTGAATATCTGGTCAGCGACCGCGCCCCGGTCTGAATCCAGCTTGCTTAGGGCTCATCCTGCTGTCTCGTACTTCCATAAGTCTGTTGAGTAAAAGGGAAGGAAAAATTTTCACTGAAACGTCTAGTAAGCTGATTTCCCGATAATTGTCGCAGTATGGTTACAGTATACTTATCATCTTTCCTGAGAATTTGGAGCAGCGGAGTTTTGCTCCAATCATCTGGTAATATTTCTTTTTCCCATACTAGAGAGTACCATACTGCGACCATATTTGTTGAAGATATGTTATGAAGGACGATAGACAACATTTATAGAGTTTAGCCCGAAGACCCGAAAACCATCTTCTCCGGGAGCCTTAATGGCCTTAAGCTTATGGATAATAGATATTATTTCTTCTTCTGTCCGGGGCTGGCAGTTGCAAGCATATGGTTCGGCGAACGTATCAGGGGCAACAGATAGTGCTTCATGGTTAAGTTTGGCCTCAAAGAATTCTTTTCATCTCATGAGGCGATTCTTCATACTCTTGATTCAGTTATTTCGTTATTTAGATAATCTGATAGCTATGTTATTTAGAATATATATTGTAATATACATGAAGTTATCGAAAAACTTCCAAAAAAAATCATTATTTGCTGGAAAATAAATCGAAAGAATTTAGAAATAAAGAAAATAAAGAAAGAATTTAAAATCAAACCATCATTAGCTGCAACAAAAAAATAAAATGGATTAAAGTGATCCCACAAAACACGTTCGACATCACTATTCACAGACCATTTCTTGCAAAGTTTTCCTTCTCGGCAATCACTCAGCATTATGTTACCGCTCAATGTACCAGAAAGCAGAATTGATGCTTCTGCGGTATGCCATTCGACTGACTGTACCTAAGGTAGAAACAAATTGAGCATTTGAATTAAAAGAATTAACTTTTTAAATTCTTCTAAATTTCACTTAATTTATTACCTTACCAAGACCATAAGAAAAAACACTAGCAGGTTTAGCTTCCTCGATATCCCAAAGAATAACAGTAGTATCAGCACTACCAGAAGCCAAAATATGTTCAGTGAGACTATTCCATGATAAACTTAGTACTGCATCGCTATGCACTTGAGCACTACCATCTCTTCTGTACCTTTTTCCTAAAACATTCCTATTGTTTATTACTATCACGCACCTGATCAAATTGACGAATAAAACGAACTATTTCGCAAATAAAGCCGTTAAAACTTCAATAAATCCAAAATTCAGACAAAAAACGCTAACTAAATTCACAAAATGAAAATTACATAAAAGAAGATATTGATTTGAAAAACAAATTCAAAACACAATTTTAACCTGATTTTGCGCTTTTTAATGAAACTATAGGTGAAATAGCAGAAACGATATCCAAGTCCCATATTCCAATCGTTGAATCCATTGCTCCGACCGCTAACAAATTTCCCTGAAGAACATAACAAACTATAAACTACAGACCTATTTGGATCTTAGTCTCCAAATTTATCCATAACTACGAGTAAAATAAAATAAACATTCTAATAAATATAAATATAATGAAATATATATGTGTTAAAATCAATTTTAAAATAGAAAATTGAAGTAAATTGAAGTAATTGAAGAAAAAATAAGTTTCAAAAGATGGAGCTTTAATGGAGCTCGCACCTTTTTATCATCAGAACCTGGATCATAACGAATTGTCTCAAGACAAAGTGGCGGGACATCAAGCATATAATCATGATGAACATACCAATCGTCATCGTTCTCATTATATATATAAACTTCCAAAGTATAATCGCCCTATAAATATAAATTTATAAATAAAACAAATAGTAATTAATATGATTCTTACAAATCTTTAGGGCATTTCTCAATTTTTTCATTCAGGTCCCATTGTGAATACTTGATTTTTTCACAGGTAAATCTTCATTAAGCAGAAAGCAGCATCCCTTCAGTGAATAATACGATAGAACTATCACCTTTAGTGATTACCACTGATTTCCTTGTCACGCATTGTCATTTACGTTCTTTTTTGTATGATAAGTTCTCTGATAAGTTCTATATGTTGTGCTTGTGGTTTCAATTGTTCCAGTTTTTAATGAAGAGTTACTACAACCTTTTGTTTACCTTCTGGCTTTCGAGCATCAAATATTCATTAAATATTTTTATTGGCTGCTAGTTCTAAGTTCATATTTCTAATGTTGATATAAAACTGCTCTTAAATGCAGTCCAAGTCTTGAATGATTCACTAAGTTCCGGTAACTAGATCAACTGGAGGATGTTAGGACTGAGATAACCTTCTCGATATAGGATTCAGACTTTTTCTTCTTTTTCTGGCTTTCTATCATTGTTGGTTTGGATCTACTGATGACCAGGATAAAACGTTTCCAACTCTCCCGATCGGACGTTAATCCCGAAAGCAGTTGGAGCCACTCCTTTTTCTACTGCCTAAACCTGTTCGCTGCCTGTCTATATTTCGAAAATTTCTCTTGTCCGTTTCAGTCCAAGTCTAGATTGGACCACCATCTATCACAAGGAATAGTAGAAAAATGTGCGTAAATTCCTGTGGCGGATGACGAAGAATATAACCAAACCAGCGCAGACGACACTTTGTGATATTCTTAATGTAACTCCAGATGAACTCAAGCGAAGATACAGACAACCATGGAAGATTCTGCCCATTTGGCGACAGTAGGAAGTATCTTTAGATAATTTGCCGATAACATTTGGCAAAGTTTCTTCGCATTTCGCAGCATGATTTTGTTCAGCCAGATATACAATCTCTTATTTTAAGGTTGATTATGCATCGATTCCAGAGAGATCAGAAGGAAAGAGCATTACTGGCTGCAGGCATTCGAGCTAGAATTCCATCTTTCCTTTCCTGGCAATTACGTATGAATGTGGATCCAAGATATTTAAAGCGTGATATTCTGCCAACCGCCAATATAGCATATCTCGTCTATTGCATTCCCTCGTAGTCGCTGACAAACAGAATACCATAGCGTAATCAAAGCTCTGATATTACGCTCTGGACTGATTTATACACCTGGTAAGGGTGCCGGCAAGCAATGTCCATAATATAATCTACTGCATAACTGAAAATTGTAGAAAATTATTTCGAAAGTTTGTGACAATTCCCCATATATACACACATACATATACCCTAGGCCAACAGAATGACTTCTCTGGAATATCATCGTGTTGCACGGTAGAAGAGCGCCACCCTGTTCATGGAATCAAGAGCACCGTCTTAGCCTATATAATGCTTAATTAAGATGCGCCTTATTTTCATGCACTGCAATTCAATAGAAAAGAGACAAAAATCTTCCAGAAAACATCTAACAAGCTGATTCCACAGTTGTAATAGTATGTCCTACCATCTTTGTTGGGAAAAGAGAACAGAACTGTCGCGCTGAGTCACATGATATTTGCTTCTCCTACACCAATGAGTATAATTTTTGGAAATCTGCTGTGAAATACATTAGGTTTTTTTTTCCAGAGCACTCACCATTCCTATTTAGATTCAATTCGCTTGTCTGACGGATTAGACAAATATACCAGGGAGTTTTTTGGCGATAGAAATATAATTCGAGAGCATTACCAGGATTTTCGAAGATGTTTATTTCCCGAATATTAATCCCGAATACACTCCGAACTGAGCAGCAACCCACTGTGCCACTCCACTCTCTCTTATTTTTCTCCGTTAAGCGACACTGGATGGCAATCATCTTGCTATTGAACCGTTAAGCAGCATTTGGAGATTTCAACTCCATCTATAGAAATTTTATTTAAGCTTATAGGTTACAAAGATTATCTCGTGCTCCGTTGGTAGTTCGCAGTTCTAAATTTCGGACCTCGTAGTATTGAATTATACAACGATTATATATATATATATATAAATATATATATATATATATATATATGAATGCCTTTTCCATCGTTCGAGACTATCGCGAAAGAACTGTGATGTGTGGTTATTATGTGGTTAAATCATCCTAATTCTTTTAATAAAGAAATTAATTCATCCTTGTATGGGTAAAACCCCAGTTTGATGACAATGAACATAAATAAGCAAATAATCACGATGAAAATACCAATCATCATTATTCTGATTATAAATATATATATATATAAATTTCAATTAAATTTCAATTTCAAAATATTAAAAAATCGCCGAAATATATAAATATATAAATGTAATATATAAAGTAATAATATAATGTAATAATATAATTCAAATCATAAATAGGAATCAAACGATAATAATGAAAATAATACTTTCAATATTTTTGCAACCACAACGAGGTTATCGTCCGGTTTAATTTCGAAATCTTCTCGTTCTTCATCATCACTGTTGATGTGTTCAGTAATATAAGCATCTTCATACGGAGTGGAGAAAACTGCGATTCCAGAAAGAGGATTTGTCCTTAATAAAATTATAAATAGTAAAACTGTTGAAGAACTCTTTTATCAATATTTGAATATAATCATTAGAAAAGAACTGACAGAAATGATCGAAACAAACAAATAAACTGCAACCTTTTAAATTAAAAATAAACTGAGGATTTAAATAAACAAAGTTTAATTTCAAAATTAGGAAAAACTAAAAATGCTTACTTTTCAACTGTTTCTTCATCGTATTCATCCAAATTGTATTTCTCTATACCTTCCTCGGTATTTTCCTCAGGATTTGAACCTCGAATTTTGCGAAATTTCAGAGGTTCCTGGGATAATTTTAGCATACTATTGAAAAAAATTTGAAAAAATTTCTCCAGGGATTTGGATTTAGCAATGTAAAATAATATAACTGATGTGATCAATTTCAATAGTTTATTCTAGGTGAAACAAGAATTCACTACTTGCTGGACAGCGACCATAGTGCGCATGAATTTTCTCTTTCCTTACCTTTCTATGCTCCTTCATGAGAACGTAGAATGGCTCAGTGGGTTGGGTCAGAGCGTCGATGGGGTTCTATTTCCCGCAGGAATAAACCTGCCCAAAAATCCAGGTGACGGTGGCGATCCACCTGTACTTATATCGTCAAGGCATTCCCTGGCATATTAGTATAATGCGACAAAAGCGAGTTTAACCAGTAATGGTGAGGGTTTTTGGAAGAAAAACTTCATGAGAGTATATCGCCAACTATAAACAATAATTTCACAGTAATAATTTATGAAAAAATTTATAATTTGCTTCTCATATCTCTGATCTCCTCCCATAATTTTCATCAATGCATAAGAATTATCGCGCACCAGATAATGGAAAGTACTAGGAATTTTATAAAATTTACAAGGATTCACATTTGGATCTGACGACGATGAGTCTCCATGCATTTCCGCTTCACTACCGGACTGCTCAGTAGTTTCTCGATCACCACCTACAATCAAAATTTCCTAAAAAAAGTAATAAGTATAAAATTATAAGTATATTATGCGAAACTCTTTAGATTCTCATTGATTCCGAGATTTTTGGATTGAAATCAGACGGAAATAAAATCAAAAATCATGAAAAAACCCGGAAATTTTAGGAAATGAACTTTGTCAAAAAATTTAGCGGTAATTTCAACTGAAAACAAACGAATATTAATCATTTCCATATGAACTTTTTTTAAAAATTTTTTTAAAAACAATTATTTACAAAAACAATTATTATTTTTTTAAAAACAAAATTTTTTAAAAAATTTCTAAAAAAATGTGATTTGAAATATTCAAAGCTGAATTTTCGCTTGAAACCTTCGAGAAGTCGCCGCAATTCTTCAGGTTTCAACTTAACTTTTTCGGGGACACGTTTTGCGATTCCTCGCTTCACCCAAATCAGATCAGAAATTAATTTGACATCATCCATCCGAGAAGCGAAAAAACTCGCGGAAATCCCTAAAATGAACAACGCAAAATTAGCCTTAAATGCCGAATCGTCAACTGATATTCTTCGCAAATTTTTATTTTCAAAGAGATAGTTTTTTAAACGGCGATAATGACTCGGGCAGGACGGTCGAGTGGATAGTGACTCGGGCAGGACAGCTGAGTGGATATGACTCGGGCAGGACAGCTGAGTGGATATAACTCGGGCAGGACAGCTGAGTGGATATGACTCGGGCAGGACAGCTAAGTGGATATAACTCGGGCAGGACAGCTACGTGGATATGACTCGGGCAGGACAGCTAAGTGGATATGACTCGGGCAGGACAGCTAAGTGGATATGACTCGGGCAGGACTCGGGTGTTTCATAATGCCGCACTGAGAGCCGAGATTACGCTGTTAGCCAAAATTATTGCAATAATGTGTGAGAGACAACCGAAATAATAATAAAAATTGCAAAAAAAGACAAAAACATTTCAATATTCATAAGTTTGGCAGCCAAAATTATTTGCGCCGCTCCCCGAATTTTCGCCTACCGAAAACTTCGTACAGTTCAATACGTTGAGATATTTTGTTTGTAAATTAGCTGTAAATTATTCTAGTAGATATTTCAGGCTTTGTCCCGTAAGGTGTCGCGACAAAGTTCGCAAAAGGGCAGCCGAGTGGATAGTGACTCATGAAGAACAGCTGAGTGGATAATGACTTGGGAAGGACAGTTGAGAAGATAGTGATTAGGAAGGACAGCCGGACGATAAAACAGAAGGAATTGACTGACTTTTATTAGTGGACTTTACATGTACAACATTGTTTCCTTTAACCTCCCAGACTTCGCAAATTCGTATTATCTAACTGGGCTATGAACATGGGCAGGACAACTGAGTGGATAGTACTCGAGCAGGGCAGCCGAGTGGATAGTGACTCAGGAAGAACAGCTGAGTGGATAATGACTTGGGAAGGACAGTTGAGAAGATAGTGACTTAGGAAGGACAGCCGAATGGATAGTGACTTGGGAAGGACAGCTGAGTGGATAGTAACTTAGGAAGGACAGTTGAGAAGATAGTGACTTGGGAAGGACAGCTGAGTGGATAATGACTCAGGAAGGATAGCCGAGTGGATAGTGACTCGAGCAGGACTCGGATGTCTCATATTGCCGCATTAAGAGCCGAAATTGCGCTCGCCACCACCTACTAATGTTTTATTGACACCGACCCTATACAATATTTCTACTAAGGTGAGAGTGCTAACGCTTCCAGTACTATCGATGATATTTTCACTTTTCGATTATTTAGTCGACTATCAAATTACTTAGATTTAAGATTTCATAAGATTTATTTAATGCCCTGAAAATTTTCCTCAAGTTTTATTTAAAAATTCTGCGCTCTCATATTCTTCTCTTTCCTTTATTCTCTTAACCAACTTCCTCTGGAAACCAACTCCGATTTTCAAAAAGCTGACAGAAGTCTCCAATCATAAATCTAAGAGCGGTGTTTGGCAGAACTAATTACGCACACAACTACCTTGGAATTGATAATTTAATTTCAGTTCATCTCTTTTGCAAGAAAACATCCACAGTATCGCCACTTTTCGTTAATCTGTACGACTACTCTGCTGATTTTGTTGAATATTACTTGTTTACTTAGATTTAGCTAAAGCCTTTTGGTTGAGTTTCTCACCACCATTCTTAATCAATTCAATAATGCTTCTACGTATTTGCTTAAATTGAATTAATATAGAATTACTTAATTGATCATTAGTAAGCAGTGCGAATTTTGGTAATATTTTTGATTTTTTCCAGTTGCCTCGGGAGCACTTCAAAGCATTCTGTGCACTCTGCGGGGGCAGTGAAATGAATTCTGGGAAATTTTGAGAAACTAAGTTTTAAGTTCTAAATTTCGAGAAGCTTTAAATCAGTGAACCAACATATTACTTGATATAGCTGAAGCAATCGTTCAATGTGCAGTTTAGGCTAAGGCAACATTCATTTGTTTGTCACATCTGAGTTTGTTCACTGAGGTGTATATTATCGTGTTGGGAGGCGACGGGTTCCTCTGTTGCTTCTGGTGTGAGCTTACCTATCTTTAAAAAAAAAAATCCATGATGCTAGCAATGATAGCAATCCACCAATACGCCATGTAACTCTCGGACAAAAATGTCCTACTAAAAGTCAACCAGAAATCGGAGACTTTTCTATTTTTTATTTTTCTTTTATTTTATTTAATCGTATTTTCTACTATTCGAACTATTAATTAATATTTTTTGTTTATTCGTTGTGCAAATGCAAATTTTCATTGGATTTGACGTCTTCCGAGCTGATTAAATTCGACTTTGGGCTGTTAAAAAATTGTTAAAAAATAAATGTTAATTTAAAAATTTATCAAAAAAATTTAAAAATAGAATCACAGTGGTTTATAGAAAAAATTAATTTCGCGATGAAACGTTGTTTTGACTATTAAAAAACCTCAGGAAAATAAAAATGTTAAAAAAATATCGAAGGGTTTTTAGCAGTACCAGACCCGGTACCTCGGTGTAATCTTATCGTGATATTTTCTATACTATTGTTATAATTCATTTTATAATTCAGTGATTATACATGTTGTCCATATCCGATTCTTCTTCCTTCTTATCAGCATCTTTTCCCTCCTCTTATTCTTCCTCCTCCGATTCATCTGAGTGTTCTACTAGTTCACTTTCATCTGGAGTAAGTTGATCATTTGGTGCAAAAAACTTAGCACCGAATCGATTTTTCTGTAAAAATAATGTAAATAAAGATGTTTTTAATGCTTCAAGGAATTATTCGCGAATCATCGAATTGATGATCCAAATTTTACAATGCTGAAAGGGAGATTTTTAAACTATTTACATGGTTACACGATTGTGGTTGTTACCTTAAAGAATACACCTTTTATGTGAGCTAATGCTGTTAAATTCATCATTTTAGATTGTTCCATTACTGCAGCACGTTTCATTTTTTTCGACTTAATTCCGTCCTCTTTAAGCATCCTCGATATTTTGATTTTTTGCTGGGGCATAATTTCGATGTTTTCCGACACCTCTTGCTGCCGAGAAATTTCAGTTTTGGATTGCAGTTTAGGTGCATTAATGGTTTGTTCTGGCAGATTTTGAGTTTCTTTACGTAATACTTTAGTTGCAGATTTCCTGCTTGGAGCATGTTCTTGTAATATTAGTGCGTTAAGTGGAGGGATGCTTTCGACTTCTCTGCTATCCTTCAAGAATCTTATGTTGGCGATGATTTGCTTCTGGTCTGAATAGTTTAATAATAGTAGAATAATAGTAGTAATAGTAATAGTAATATATGTAGTATTTATAAATAAAAAACGTAAATATTTCGGGCCTTTAACTTATTTCTCTTTAATATTATTTAAATATTATTTAGTTTTAATGCGATCGTCAATTTTGGGATCGTCGCTATTCCGTTTATGTTTTAAATATCACTGAATTTGAAATCTTTACGTGGATCGTTGGAACCAACAGTTCTCGCATCTTCACTTGTTCCCAACAGTTTCTGAACCCCAAATGTAATTCCTCCAGCAGTTAGGGCTAAGGCTTTCGCCCTTCCTGCTGTATCTTTTCCAGCATTTTCGTCATTTTCGTTATCTTGTCCTGCACCAACAAAATAATCGAACATTTTATCCATAATTATATGTTATTGAAATTGTTTGCCGAAGAATTTTTGTGCAGTAAATTATTTCGAATTTTTATTTTTTTAATCATTTTTTCATGTATGATGATTCTGGATATAAGCAATGAACGGTATAATTTTGTATAACGTTGTAATAATGGGCAAAAGGTTTTTACTTGCTCTCTTATCTGCTCCATTTCCCATCAATTTTTCCATTTTTTGCCTCTGTTTCGAAACATTTTCCTTGGTTTTACCTGAAATTATTGTCAACCTAATTGCAATTTGGAATAGAGATTTGATTCGAAATATTTGGAATAAAGATTTCAAAGAATTTAAAATAGAGAAATTTTAGCAATTTAGGAAAATTTATTTAAAAAAAAAATCGAAGAATCCAAAATTTTTGAAATAGAATTACTTCAAAAAAATCACCTTTGTTTTTCTCACCCATTCCTTGGCCAATCTGTTTTTGTCCTTTTCGCCCTATTTTTTTTCCGGTTTTTCTCCTCATTTTTTTTCCCATTTTTCTGCCAGCCTTCCTCACTAATTTCTCTCCTGCCTTTTTTCCTATGTTTTTGCCGGTCCTCTTCCCCATCGTTTTTCCAACCTTCTTTCCCATCTCGATTCCTTTATCTCCCGTTTTTTTTTTTCTTCCTTCTGCCTTCCTTTCAATTTTTCTTCCTGTCTTTCTTTCCACTTTTTTTCCCATTTTTCTTACAATCTTCTTTCCTGCTTTCCTTCCCATCCTTTTTTTCGTTTTCATTTCCACTTTTCTTCCTATTTTTCTTCCAATTTTCTTTTCTGCTTTCCTTTTCCTTTCTGTCTTTTTTTCTACTTTTTTTTTTATTTTTTTTCCCATCATTTTATCCACACGAGCTCTTTTCATTGCACTGAATTTCATCGTTGAAATCAATTGGCAATGTAATAAGAGTTAGAATAGAATGTTTCCAAATTTTACTGAATTTACGTAAAAAATTTTCAAATTTCAAAAAATTCGGCAACAACCATTTTCGTCACAAAGTGAAGTTAAAATAAAAAACTTTCGATTCGATTTGAAATTCGATTCATGCAAATTTTTATAGTCTTATCTTACTTAATTTACTCGTAAATAATAATTTAATTGGTTTTGATTCCCCATATTGGCGCTGTTCGCCTTTAGAATACTAAACGAAAGAAAGAACCGTATGAAGCGAAAACCACCTATCATTCAAAAAAGTCCCAAATCCGAAATTCTGAGATATGCAAATATAATAGAACCAATGACCGAATTTGTACACATTTCAATTTTATCCATTTTGTTGTAACTGATTGAGAAGAATGAGCTCACTGGTTTTTCGCATGAGTTGTGAGGTCTCAATATTCCTTTAACAAATTTTTTTTGCTTTTTTTGCTTCCTTCCTTCCTGGCTTCCTTTGCATAATATTGGTGTAGGTCTGAGTTTTCGACTGCTTCTTCTTCTATTAGTAAAAGAAGAAATTTTAATCTAACTGAAACAAAAATTATAACTAATTAATTAGAAAATTAATTAGAAAAATTTAAACCCCTATATTGCCGTGCAAAATCGTGCAAAAGGAGATAATAAGACAGCGGATTTATTCCTCTTAGAATAAGAAAATTGAATCTCTGATACTCGATTTTAATATTAAATCTCAAAAAAATAGATATTATTTATATTTACCAGATGATTTGCTGGATTTTTCAAGATGGGTCTTTTTCCATTTCCAATCCCTTGTTTTTTGGTTCGAAATAATTCCATTTGTGAACCAATTCATCTGTGAACCAATTCTTTTTAAATACTTTTTCTTTTAGGAGCTCGCATCATTACTGGTTAGGCTGGCTCCACTGGCTATAAGGGTAAGACGTTTCCAAGCTGCTTGGTCCGACGCTATCGCTAATAGTAATAGAAGCCATTCCTTTTTCCATCGTCTAAGTCCATATATTAGAGATGGTATAGCTTAGTGGGTTGTTGCTCATAGGAGTGCCGGCACTAAGGTTCTATTCCTGGCAGGAATAAACCTTTCCAAAAGTCCAGGTAATGCTGGCAACTCCTATGTATTTCTATCACCAAGGGATATTTGATATTCTCTGGCATATTTGTCCTATGCGACAAGCCAGCAGAGCGAGTTTAACCAGGTTTAACCAATAGTGAAAACTCTTAAAAAAAAAAATTCCATATATTGCTGGTCCACCTATATGTTCAAAATCTTTTGTATCATTCCAGGTCTTGATTGGCCTACTTCGCTTTTGACTCCACCCACCAGATGGTTTAGCAAGTAACGAAGTATTTTAAAACGTCCTTAAACAGTGAAAGCGACGCTTTGTGATAACATTATTAATGTAAGTGGTATTTGAACGAAGGTGGATGCGATCTTGTGAGATTTTATCCACTAGGCGAACCCGTAAAATATACTTAAGAGCGATCAAAGCCAGATAAATTCTTGATATCCTCTACTCTCATTGGCTACGTCTCGTAGCCATATAGCAAGATCGAACGAATCGCAGCTAAATAGACGTTGACTTTAATTTTTATGGTGATCTCACGACGGTTCCATAAAGGCTTCGTTAACCGGAAGAAAAGCGCATTTCTAACTGCTGTGATCCGGTGCTATAATATCGTCTTTTGCTTGGCCATTCAGTATTAGAGTGGATTCAGTGACACTTCTTCAACCGACAATGAGTTTATAAAAGGAGGCAAAAGAGTCAGCTTCTTGTACGTAAGACAAAAAAACTTTCGTTTTATTTACATTGACCATTAGTTCGATTTTCGGTCGTTGAAGTTGTTGACTAAGGTCCCTGCAGTCCATTATTTGCATTTCGTTATAACTGTCAGCAAAAGGGACATAGGGACATCATATAGTACTCAAGATTCGTGATACGATGCTCTGGATTGGACTCTTGAATGCCAAAAAGCGATGTCCATTATCCAGTTTATCGCATTCTTGAATATTATAAGGGAAAGGACGCATCTTTGACGGACACCAATTTTCATTTCGAAGAAGTCTGTCACTTCATCATATATACAAACCTGCGTCGGCGTACGCTAAAATATATCTTTATAAGTCGAATAATTTTTTCTAGAACACTGTCGCATTTCATCATCCTTTATTGCACCGTTTTATTAATTGAATCGAAGGCAGCCGCAAAGTCGATGAAATATATAACGGTGGTTTGCACATATTTGAAGCGTGAATATCTGGTGAACACAACCGTGTGCCGGTCTGAATCCAGTTAGGGTTTATCCTCCTGTCTCATACTGCCTTAAGTCTATAGAGTAAAAATAAAGCAAAACGAAGTAAAAATTTTCCCTGAGACGTTTAAGAGACTGATTTCTCGACAGTTGTCGCACTTATGTCTTGTCACCTTCCTTGGAAATCGGGAGCAGAATTTTTTTGTTCAAGTCATCTGGTTATATTTCTAGCTTCCATACCAGAAAGTATGTTAAGTACGTTGAAGGTGTGTTATGAAGGGTAATGGAGACATTCAGTTCGGAAACCATCTCCCGGAATTTTATTGGCTTACGAATAATGGCAATTATTTCTTTTTCTGTTGGCAATTTGCAATTGCAAACTCATAGTTCGATGAAAATATCAGTTATATAGAGGCAACAGATGGCGCATCATGGTTAAATTTGGCCTTAAAGAATTTTAATTTCTTTCATCTTGGGAGGCGATCCATGATCCTTTACCTTTGCTATCTCTTACCATTTCACTAATCGCTCTCTGAATTATAATTGCTTTATGAAGAAGGCGGAAGAATTTCCTATTATCGCATAATCTCTATTTTCAAAGCCATGTTGCTCCAAAAGTGATTTCTATCCCGCTGCGATCTTTGCAATCCTTCGAAGCATCCAGTACTTAGGATCTCCTAACATTCGTGCTTTGGCAATGTTTTTGGACAATTGGACAATTGCTTCCGATACCCACTAGCGTGCTTCCTAATAGTATGCGCTAGCGTGGAATTGGCTGACTTTCGGAGGCATTCTTTTAGTTTGGACCAGCATTTATTTTCCGTTCCAGAAAAATCATAAATAATTATAGCATTGTGCTTTAATAACTCGGTTTGAGATACACTCACTTGCCCGAGTTTCTTAATTTGAGATAGTTGAAAAATTGTAGAAAATGCTGTTTTATGCGAATCTTGGCTCGGATCATAACACGGTCAGATCCATGAAGATTGTCCGTTTCAATGTCGCAATAGGAAAGGATAGGAACGATTATCTAATATGGAACTTTTCCAATGGCGATTGATTAAAATACAATCAATTCTGGTTGAAGTGTTGATTATCCGGAGAGTTCCAAGTGATTAGTGTTTTCGGCAATTCTGAAAGCAAATATAAGTAATAAGAAGTCCATGCTGTTCGGCTAAGGAGGCATTCTTCATTGGCGCACCGATCTTCGATGCTATATTTGTCGGGGTCATTGCAGCGTCATTATGATCTATGTGTGCATTCCAGTCTTCTCCGATTATGATCATGTCATGTTTCGGTAGAGACTTGGTTAGCGACTGAACTTCTGCATGGAACCTCTTTATCACGGTCATCTGCCGACAACATTGATAAACACTGATGACCAAGATATTACAGAAATTACCTTTAAAATGGGCATAGGTCATATTGTCAATGGGCCTTTTCAGATATGATAATGCCATGCTCCGTGTTATCCGAAGCATCACAGTGATATATCCAATGTCTCTGCTCGAAGTCAGGATTAGTGATTGTTCTGAAACCTGAAGTGAGGGATACGGTCCAAGCAAGCGACATCCACATGATATTTAGAAAGAGTGGTCGTTTGGCTTGCAACATCCATAAACGTTCTGACTTTTCAAACTGACGGCTAACACCTCGCCTCGCCGTGCGTGCAGAGAGTCGTTCTTCTTGATAGATTTAAGCAGTTATCCTAGCTTGCAAGCACATTTTATTTATGAACCTTGGGATTATTTTATTCACGGATTATATATTTACTGCATGTACCATCTGACTGGGAGTATCATGCGCATCAGAAGACACAAAAGCCCTATCAAGAACATCTGACCCTTTCTTCATAGATTCACTTGGGGATGGAGTTACAAATGAGCACTTTTAGCTTCACCCGAGTTTTTTTGTTACGAAAGGTTTCTTTCTATCGAAGATAAGGTTAAAAAGGAAAAATAAAAAAAAAATTCCAAAATTTTTCAAATTTTCCAAAAAAAATTTCAAGGAAAAGAATAAGCTCTTGCATATATGGAAAAAATTTCATTCGCTTTATTGTTATTTTTGATGTAAAATTTAGCATATTTTGAATGCAAAGAAAAAAAATTCTTTTCTTCGTTATAATAAATTTATATAAAGTTAGACGAATTCTCTTGTTTTAGTTTCCGATAACAGAAGTTTAATTAGCGTCTTGCTGAAGCTAACTATCTCATTTCCGCGAAACTTGCTTTAAGCTTAGATGATTTCAACATCAGTGAATTTTCTGAGCAATCAAATCTTTGAGGCATTGAGAACGATATTTTCGAGTTCATTTCTACTCACAGAATCTAATTGAATTCAACAAGATTGCTTGGAAAAAATACGAGTTTTGATAGTTATTTCGATTTTTTTAAAATTAGAATTTATAAAATTTTTTAAATTGAAATTTTAAATTTTATAATATATTGTAGATGTTTGTTTCTTTTTCTGGATTTTATCTTCTGGATTTTGAACGCTGATAAACTAATATCGAAATCTTCAAAACATTTTATTTTATTGTCTTTCTTGCTATAAGATTTCTATTTGGCTTATAACCATAATATTCCCAATTTGCTTTTTTTTTCGTTTATTATTCTCGTTGTCTTCTTCCATACCTTCTTCAGAGTGGTTGATGCGTTTTTTTTATTTTCGTGCTACCACTGAGTACCATTGAAAAAGTGTACAAGAGCATATACCATAACGAGTAGGAATGTCCTCTGAAATACCTGGCTGGCTATGAAGAAGACATTGCAAAGTGCTAGACGTAACAAAGTCGTTTTAAAACTAAATCTTGGCGAGTCAAACACACTTGTAAAATACGTCAGAAGGTAATAGACAATTAAAAAATCTCATTTGCAGTTAAGTTAAATAAAATATTTTCCATAAGGAACTGAAAAAGAAATTATGTTGCTTTTTATGTCTTTGAAGAAAAGTAAAATATATATATATATAAATAAGTATAATATCAATGGTCGAAACATGAAAATATTGTCAAGATTTATTTGTAAAGAAGCAAGCGAAACAGATGTGCTAATATTAACAACAATTTCGAATTTAATAAATAAGTAAAAATAGTAAAAAAATGAAGAGAGACAAGAAATTCTAAAAAATTGTAAACTGCGAATAAGAATACTGATTCTATGAATGGAACCGCGTTGCAATTTCAGGTAATATCATGAATCATAATGTTTTTGAATATCCCTCTAAATACTTCTGAATGCATTATGGGAGAAAACATTGTTCCTAACATTCAAAATAAAGTTTTAATTATTACAGTTAATACAGTTAATATCAATAAAATCAAGCAGTTTTAAATTGAAGACCTCTGATAAAATTTTGTAAACAAGCAAAAATCAAAAACCTCTCTTAACCTTCTTCTAACTTTCTTCTGTGCTGAATGAACCAAGGCTATTTAAACCTAGCCAAATTAAAGAGACTGAATAGCCAAATGAATAGTTTAGATGATCATTAGAGACAGAGGTTCGGCTCCTACCCCTGGCAACCGTAAATTGCTACTGGCGATGCACTTGAACCTCTTTTAATAGCGAGTGGAGTGGCTGTAACCAGAAATGGTGAAAACTAATTATCTGCTCACTTAATATTAAATGGTTTGTCGTTTATGCGAAGTAACAAAAATTTAATATTTCTGTAGGTTTTGAGCTAATTCGAAACATTATATTATATTATATTCCAGAAGTAAACAAACGAATGGTTTATACATGCTGATAAGAAAAATATTTGCTACATTTAGAGAAGTTCGGAGTGTTCTGAATATGATCTTTGATGTTAAAAGAAAAGGATAGAACCATTATTTTATTCATTATTTAAAAAATCTCGCAATCAAAATTTTTTTCACAGTTTAAGCAAAAAGTTTTTCAATATTTAATTTTGAATACTTTATCTGATACGAACAATGGACATTTTGTTAAGATCTCTTGATTTGCAGGTCATGTTAGCACGAAATTTTTCCATTAGCAAATATGCTTCTAGTCATATCGATTATTACGCTTTCCCAACAACCAATGCATGGATTTCTGAGCCAGCTTTAACTTTACATCCACAACAGATTCCTGTAGAAATAACCGTTGGTTGCCATGCGTCTCCTACTTTACGAAGCACATCCAAATTATGAAATCGCTGATTGCAAGATCCCCAACCTTAAAAGCAACTTAATCTCAATATTAATATGTTAATAATGCAACAAAGAAATAATAAAGATGAAGAGATTGGCCATAAAATCCAATTTTAACACAGAAATCATCTAAATGCGATAAAGTAGGACGGGTTCAAGAGGAATATAGCTTTTGATCAGAATCAAACCGTCATAAATTCGATTCCTGCTTTGTGAGCGAAGTACTTAAAATAAATCCGAGTGATGCCTTTTATTTCCACTCCTATCCTTAAATAATTCTTTGGTGAAGGGGTTCTCGTTCTAATAGCCAGTGGACCCATCCGTTCCGAGAATAGTAGTACTGGAAGAAGAAGGAACACCATAAAGTTCAGATTAATTATTTACATAAAACTTCAAAAATAGTTATTTCTTGTAATTTTTATGGTAAATTTGTTAAGAAAGACAGCACTGACTTGAATGAAGCAAATCTTAACCTGATAAGCAATATTTATCGGATTTTTTTTCTGGACATGCCAATTCATTGACAAGACGAGGGAAATAATCTTCTGGCAACTGTCTCCAAGTCCAACAGGCATTACAAAGATTTAGTTCATCCGATTCATCAGAATCCGCTTCTCCTCGATTCATACAAGAAATTTCGAAACGTTTTCCTGAAAATTTTTTTTCGTAAAATTAAAAACAATAGCCAATCGATGCTATAGCTATAATATATAATTGGCTAAATAATTAATTTTAATAAATAAATTCAGGTATGCATCTGCTTTTATTAATGTTATTGTTATGTTATAGAGCGTCGCCTTCGCTGGTTAGAGCACATTCTCCATCGTCCACCACAAGAGTTGACGCATATTTGGCTATTTGCTGAACCGCGTGATGGATGGCATCAAAAACCGTGGGTCAATTAAGACCTGAACTGATATGATCAGAAAAGATTTTGAACGTATAAATGGACCAGTAATATATGGACTTAGACAATGAAAAAAGGAATGACTTCCATTACTGTCGACGATGGCATCAGACCGCGTCGCTTGGAAGCGTCTTACCCTTATAGCTGTTGGAGCCAGCCTAATCAGTAATGGCGAGAATTGTTAGAAGAAGAAGATGCATCTGCTTAGTTAATGATTTTTAATGAAATTTAATGAAATTAGCTCGAAATTCTGCGGGAAATTATTTCAAAAATTTCGTGCGAAGAACAAATGAAATGCAAGCAAAATCAAAATTCTTTACTGAAAATAGTTAAGAACCATTAAAATTTTTATAGTTTATTTGAATTATAAACACCATCAGTTTAGTTAGATTTCACAAAAAATAAAAAAACCCAGTATTTCCGATTTTGCTTGTCTTTTGGTGCGACCAGCTAAAGCTAAAAGCTGAGGAGGCACTATTAAATTCCTCATAAGGTCCATGAATTGATTGTTTAACCCGACAAGCGCGTTAAATTTGTTGATTTTCTCTTGCACCTAAAAAATGATTTCATTGCAAGAACATGAAAAAGAATGCTACCACTATTAAGTTCTACATATTTCAACAAATTCACGCAAAATCTTCAAGTTTTTTTAAAGTTCTATAACTCTAAATGGAACCTAAAAAAAAGATTTAATCTTAAGATTTAAGACTAATAAAAATCATGGAAATAGGTGAAAGTTCTAAACGTTAGCGAAAAATCGCCTGAAGAATATTTCTCCTACCTTTTTCTAACATAAAATTGACATATATAACTTTAAAAATCTCTTATAATTTATTTCAGTTCAAAATATATAAGAAAATAATCTGAACATACAATAAAATCACTTAATGATAAAGGACGAGGAGGTATTACTGATGGTGCTGCTGTCGGAGGCACAGGTGGCAATTGAGGCAGTGGTAGCGGTGGTGCCAATGGTACGAATGGTGGTGGTGATGCTATTGCTAAAAATGGTGGCAGTGGAGGTGCGGGCGGTGGAGATGGAGGCGGTGTAGATAATGGAGGAAATGTTGAGGTTTCCTCTGGCCGTTCATTAGTCTAAAAAAACGAATTAAAATTAAATATTTTTTATCATCACATTCATTTAATGCTTATTTTTTTAATGTTTAATGTTTTAACCTGGTTCTTATGAATTTTGACTTTTATTTAATCTCATAATCTTCATTCAAATTTAAATTTTAATTCATCGATTATTAATATTATTAAGTGTATATTAATTTTTCGAAAGTTGATGGAGATTTTCAGAATGAAATTACATAAATGATGAATTTCAGAAAATGGTACTAAATGGCAGATATGGTCGAGTAATATGGTTGTTGCATTATACTTTTGATTCTCTGCCCATGATAGAAGTGAACCATAATAGGATTGTCGTTCAAAAACCTGGATGATGCTCCACTCCACCCACCTATATTTCTATTGCTAGATGATTTCCTATCAATCTAACCAAACTGGCAGCCCAATCAACCGAAAATAGTGATCGCTATTCCTTTATTTCTCCTTTTTTTTTTCAATATTATTCGTTAAATTCAGATCAAACTGGTGGACTAGCCAATTCTTTTTCTATTTCTTCTCCTTCCTCAGTAAATCCAGCTGCTCGAATTCGTCTTAAACCTTCATTTATCGTTTCAGTGATATAGTCTGGTATAACGGTTGGGACCGCGTAATTCTAAAAATTTTTGATGAAAAATGAAAAAATGGTTGAAAATGAGCAAAATTTTATGTCCAAAAATATCGAAAAACTTAGGACCTAAAGGATGATTTTTTTTTAGATATTTTTATAAAGCAAATTCTAAAATTTTATTTTTACATGGTTGTTATAATTTTTGCACCTTTAATTTTTCATAAATGTTCTTTTAATAGTATTATAAGCAAACTATTGGTACTATACAGGTGCAGTGCAAAAATACCTTGATGTTTCTAGAAAGCCGTAATCTGCGACAATTCGATGGATCAATTACAGATGGAGTTGGAATCGATGGCACCTCTTCATCCGCACCTAATAGACCAATTTCCTTCAGACGCCTTATAAGAAGAAAAGCACAAGTCTGGCATTCAAGCGATCGACATTCGAATGTAGTTATGTCCTTTAACAGATTTCATTAAGTTTTTGATTCTTCATTAATTTCGGTGATTTTTTATCCCTAAGATTTCTTATCATAGTAATCTTTAAAAAAATTTACATATGGCTCATCCACAAATAATAATTGATCGAGGGTAAGATCTGGGAATGAGACTATTGCTTCTTCAACAGACGCTGCTTGATATCTTGAATCATAAGTAATACATTTATCCGTTCCTGGTTTTATTACACATGGACACTAAAATTGTAATAATGGGATTGATCCGATGTTTACAATTGTTATCAAAAATTGCTTTCAAGGCTATTTCTTTGACAATACTGATAATGAAAAGTTATTGAAAATAAAAATAGTGCATTAACCAAAGATTAGATATTCAGAAAAAATGAATGTCCCTTTAAAAGTCACTGACTTAAAGGATATTAAAATTCACCGGTTAATTATAAGATTTAGCGCAATATTTCGATACAATTCCATTTTTTCGCTTGAACAAGGCGAAAGAAAGTTTGTTTGTTTCTTCGCCGGGAAAAGATGATAAAATGAACTTTCAAAATTTAAATCTATCCACTTCAGAACTAGAAAGTAATTTTGTGACGAAGTCATCGTATTTTAATAACCCAAAGTAGCCCAAAATGAAGGTAGCCAAACTAGAAACAATAGAAATAGCGAGTGTTACTGGAAGAAAAAGACAAGAAAACGACTTGAATTCCAAAAATAAAATCAGATCTGAAGTAATGTAATTTAATTATAATTTTATCACCTGTGGCACTTGATTTCCAGTGATTCTCTGCCTCAAATATTCATCAAACCCTTCATCAGTAAATGCGCGTTTCCAACGTGAAGATTTTATATCCTTTTGCTGTTTTATGGATTTCGATGAAAAAGATATATTTTTGTATGAATTAAAAGTGGCATATTGTGATGATGAGATCAGTGCACTATGGAACGGATTAAATTCAACAGCGGATTGAGAGATCAATTCTGATGAACAAAAGTTTGTTAAAACTGTGACGAGTATGACGCCCCAAGGCGTCATATCAATCGCGAAAATATTAATGAATATTGTAGCAAACCGATTTTGATATTAGTTGGATATGCCAATCGCTAAATTTAATTATAAAATAAAAATATTTGTCGCGAAAAACATCAAAATTTTGTAAATAATATTTAATTCGAATAATGCAGGTGATCCACTTATATTTTTATCCCTAAATATTGCGATTGCACAGAAATGTTTAATATACTGGTTTATTAGTTTACAATTGCTAGAATTTAATCGATTTCGATAAGTTTCGAGTAGTTTCATCTGAGACTTCTTGGACCAATTTTGGATTTATCTATTTCGGCGATCGTTATCCAAAAAAGCAGCTATTTCCAATTAATCTAGAGAAAAAGGAGTAAAGAGTTTGTAATTAATTTCTTGCTGTAAGTATAGTAAAGTAATTTTTAATAAGAGATTAATTTGGCAATATAACCTAGCAGGTGTTTAAAGAAAATATTGACCCACAGTCCGAAAAAACTGCCGAAAGAAATGTTGAGATTCATAAATTGGTGGTTGCATTCTCCAAATAAGTTTTTAGGTATTGAGATGGAGACAATGACACAGCTGTTATTTCACTGGCTATCGCTACAATAATTCATGAAGCCAGCCAAACCGGGATTAATCTTATTAGGTAATGTTTCCTAAATAATCCCATTCTCGGTAAAATTTATAAAATTTATTACAGAATTTCAAATTTCAGAATGAAAAAGTTCATCGTTCTTCTCCTATTTAATCGCCCATTTTCTATCATGGCAATTTGTATTTGAATAAGATTCTTCGATGGCCAAAAATTGCTCATTAGAAAACGAACGAAAATATTCCAAACTACCAGAATCTTCAATCCATGAGTAAAGAGTATTAAAAAAATTTTGCAAAGTCTATCATCTTTAATAATAATGAAAAATACTTGCCTCAATTTTTATTCACATAAGTGAGAAGAGAACGCAAAAATAAACTGAGGCATTGCAAATCTCATCGAATGATTATTTCACTGATATGATCTACAAAATCTTTCAAATTGTGTTTGAAATTTAAAAATTGGAGCGATTATCGCCAAAAAATTTCCTAAGATCTCTAATGGCGAGATCCGAATGAAGATTAATACTATTATGATACTTTCCAGCAAACTCACTTATAGTGAGTCAAAGATCCATGAAGGTTTCAGATCATCAAAGCAAAAACCATGGTCTATTTAAAGTTATAAGATCACATTAGAGGGCTTCATAATGGACTGTTTAAATCAGCAACTCCTAACAACCTTCTTTTCACACCTTAGTAACATAAATTTAAGCGAATCTTTTTATTGCTCCTACCTGTATTAATATTATAATGTAACACTTTAAGAACATACTAGGAAGCCAACCAATATTTCTGTAGAACTTTTTTCAATAAATGAAATTGATGATTTATGAATTATGAATTGATTGATGATTTATGAAAAGAATCTTATTTTTAAAAGAAGTGAAATTTTATCACAAATTTATCAGCCAAGATTGTTGGAGGTTTTATTGATGAAAAACAATTCGCCTAAATAAATTTAAAAAATTCGATCTCCAGTTCAATCCAATTTATTTTTTAGTTCGTATGTTCTAGCTATTAGCCTAAAGATGCAAAACTTCTCGCAAAAATGATGATAGATCAATACGAATAATGAGGAAATGATTCAATATCTCTTAGAGAATTAATATTTAATATTTAAAATACTGAATTATTGAATTATTGAAATAAAAAAGTATTTAAATTTTTATTGATAAAAAGATATGTTAGAACCTTCTGCATCTTATGCAAGCAAAAAATCGTTCTTCATTCTTCCTTCCTTTCATAGAAATAATTCTTATATACTAATTCTTATACTTATATTTCTCATTGAAATTTTGGTGCAGACATTGTTAAATTAGTTTACATTATTATAGTTTACATTATAAATGGCTCAATTGACAATGAAATTAAAAATTTATGCATGACACATATGCACATATCATTACTTTTTCTGCTCAATTATTATTTCAAATAAATAATTATATATCTTAGTAAATGTGAATATTATTTCCCTTCACTTTTTATTATAATTATAAAAATTTTCGTCATGGAAGGTGAAATCCGGATTGCGCTGGATTGCTTGTATTATTTTGAGGAAAAAATTGCAGGAAGAATACGAAAGATGAATAAAAGATAATCATATATTTAAAAGCTCCATGATATAAACATTCAAACATTCAGGAACAACTTCTACTTCTAGAAACAGCAACTGAAATTGCAGTAGGATTCAAGTAAATTATAATAAAATTGATCGAGAAGTCAGTTCTTGGTAATTTTTAGAAAAATATGATGAAGATATATCAGCATTCGCCTATTTGGACAGATTCAATAGAAGACAAAGAATTGGGAAAAAAATTAATCATGATAAGCATTTTATTCTCTTTTATCATGATTTTAACACGCTGAACTCTAACTTGCATCGGAAGCAAAAAATTGTTGTTGTAGAGGACGATTGACCTAAATATTCGAGCGTATCAATCAAGAGTTCATTTTTGACCTCAAAAATGAACACAAAATTTAGCAAAGCATCGGCTATTTTCCAATTCTTCTTGACCTATTTAGTGTGAAAATCATAAAAAGGCGATGAAAAGAAAAGACAAACCTTGTTCATCTGGTTATTTAACTTAACAATTCTGTAATAGTGTAATAAAACAATGGTATTGTAAAATTTTACACATGGCTTTAACGAGAAGTATGCAGGTATATCTGAAATGCATAAATTTTGTCTTTTTTGAGCTTTAGACATATGGAACATCTTAATTCATTATTAAGATGTAATGACTCAACGAGTTGTTGCTCTCGTTTTTGAGCGCGATACTGGAATTCTCTGATAACTCTTTGGATTTGGTCTAAACTATAACTTCTCGATTTATAAGTGGATGACATGAATTGGTTTATTAACCATTGTATAGAATCATAAACTATTCGTTCCCATAAATATTCCATATAGTTGCAACTCGCTCGATCTTGTTATATATGGCTGCGAAATATGGCCAAAGAGAGTGGAGGATATTAAGAAGCTATCAGTCTTTGACCACTCATGTCTAAAATGCATATTACAAATCCATCGATAAAATCTCACCTGATTGCATCCATCTTCACTCATACCTATTAATGTTATCACGGAGCGTCGCCTTCGATGTTTAGGGTAAATTCTCCGTCGTCCACCTCAGGAATTGATGCATATTTCGCTATTTCAATTTGCTGAACCCTGTGATGGTTGGCGTCAAAAGCGAGAAGGGCCAATCAAGACCTGGACTGAAGTGCGTAATATTATTTCTGATTAGGGTTACTTTACTGGCTTTTAATAGTATGAGAAAATTTATCTAGAAAATAAAAATACTGGTGAATCCCCAATATTTTCCGAATTTTTTTCTGATAACCGAAGCCATTCGATGAAGTTTACCGCAATTCCTATTTTTTATCGACCTTTCAAATTTATAAATATAGCAGATCGTTACCCTCGAAAATAAAATCAAGGATCGAGATTTGCAACCGAATTGGAAGAATGAAACCGTTCGTCAACTAATTCCAACTGCAAAAAAAGAATAATAATTTTTCTTATTCACGTGTGACCAGTTCTTTTTCATTCATTTCTCTTCTTTTTTAATATTATAAAATTTTCAGCGCATCTGAAAATCAAATTCAAAGATCAAGATCAAATTCCAATTACAAATCGTACGAGGCGATTTCATTTGAAGAGATTTATAAGTATTTCACAAATTTGATTAATTTAAAGATTTATTTATTGATAACCAGCCAAGCAGGGCGACAACGCCATGTGCTTGCATTAATAATAACAATTAAAAATTAATTATAAAACAATATGACAAAAATTAACAATTTAAAGAGGAAATTACAGATCAATATAATATAGTACAATTCGAAGTAACATATATAATCTGAAGATAAAATCGAGATTTCTCGCGAAATCGAGAATTTGATTAATAAAATTATTTCTTGCTTAATAATTGATGAATAGAAAAGATATTAGGTATTTGCGGATTTTTAGTGGCAACCTGTAATTTCTATAATTATATTCTTTTCAAAAATTTCCTCATCTAAACTAGTTTCAGAAATTATTGCGATCATTAAAAAATTTTATGTATTTTAGAAAAAATTGCGAATCCGGAATAACAACCACAGGATTTCCGCGTAAATCTCATCTTTAATTGCCAATAAAATTTTTGGAATTATAATGAACTGTAGATGGAGATTGTTCCATATATTTGGTTCAAAGGATAATATTTTTTTCGGTTCTATGAGTGAATTTCATGAAATTTGTTTATTGGCATATACATATTTATGATCCTACATTATATAATCCTTTTACAATTGACACATATGGCGATATTTTTGGTTCTGTAGAATAAGTTAGATGGTCGTTGTCTAGTTCAGTTGTTCTCGAAATATTTGCCGAGAAATATTCCAATGTTTTCGCTTATATATTTGAATTTTATAATATAGTAATATAAAGGAGAACTAAGAAGGATTTGAATAGTCTAAGCTCGTGCATAATTCTGAATATTGAAATATTTTGCCTGCTATGCATTAACTATGAACAGATAGCCTGTCCCCATTGCCCCACTAGCACGTTGCAGAGCAGATTTGTGAGATCGATGTGCAAAAATTTGTTAATGATTGTTCTAGCCTTAACGTATAAAATTCTGTGTGCGGCCGCGATTCACCTCTGATCGAACCAGTTGAATCAAATGAAGATGAAATTTTTTCTTAAACTTTTTTTCTAATTCTAAAAGCAGGCAAATTTTATTGAATATTAAAATTATTAAAGTAACATGAAAATAATGAAGTATACCGTACCTCAGAGGAATATTGAGGAATATTCTAATGTTTTGCAGAAATTACATCAAAAGATAATCATATTGTTTAGTTCAGTTCCATTAAACTATTAAGTAATGTAGATATGAGCGAAGATAATGAGGATCAAAATACCA